AATGTAATTTTCCTGCATTTTGCAATCCCCCCCTCTCATAACAGTGGTACAAGATGTTCCAAGTCCATGTTCTGAAAGAGTTTGCTCTGTCTAACCTGAAATAGTTTACTGAGAAATTTTGTAGCCTTTAAAACTGTTTGTGTTTATAATGTGCAAAGGAGAGAATCAATTTAAAATCAGATCTGAAATAAAAAGCCGTTGTGTGGCAATAAGGCAATACAATGGGCTAATGTTTGTAAAATCAAAGTCTAAGACATTAATTGGAGCCCTCTCTCTTATCCCCTTCACAGTATGTGAAGAACAAGTCTCTAAATTTCACTTGCCTGCACTGTTGAAGCTGTTTCATGGGCTTTTGTTGGGGAGGGAGGGAGGGAGGAAGAGGGGAGTTCCATGGTATCCCAGCTTACATGATCTTTCAGGCTAGGGACAGAAGTTACACACAAACTGGCTTAAGTAGTCAGAAACTGGTTTAAGCCTGTAACAGGACAGAAGTTCAGTGGACATAAACAGTTCCAAAATGGCTGAAACTGGTTTAAGTTAAACCTGGGTGAATGTAGTATCAGACTTAACTGGTTTGGGTCAAACCGGTTTATGAAACTTCTGCCCTGGACCCCTTCCTGGTTCAAGTTAAATCACAGTCCCCTTGCATCCCAGTATGCTTTCCAGCCCTGGGCTGGGCTGGGATCCAGCAGAGAATGGTTGCAGGAAGTGGAAAGCAGGGACTGCCCAAGCAAAACCCTGCTGGAGTCTGGGGCCAGGGAGGGGGATTAAACTTCCCTTCTCCCCCCCAAGTGCACAGCTGACCTGCCCTGCTAAAAAACTTACTGCTGGCTGTAACTGTGGACTACAAATCCCAGAGACACATGGAAGCAGGAAGAGGAAGTAACGAGCAACTGTGCAGAGTCCTACTGCTGTAACTCTGGCCTGCAAATCTCAGAGACCTCAGGGGCAGCAGGAAGAGGAAGCACACACACAGCCCATGCTGACTACGTGCCAGAGAGCTGTTCTTTAGTGCCCCCTCACTCCCCCAGGCTTCTGGTTGGAACCACTGCTGGTATATGGCTGCATTTCCTGAATCAAAACCGAATGTCTGTCCAGTTGTTTCTCAGTTTAATCTCTGCATCTTAGACTAACCTGCAACGACTGAGTCGATTCAGCCTTGGGCTTTTTGACTGTTTGTACTTAGCCGCAATGGGAGAGACTGTCAGGGTGGGTCTCCTTACATTCCAAAACTTGCTGATTGATTGTCTGTGGTTAAGTACAGACAATCAAAAAGCCTGAGGTTGAATCAATTCAATCTTTGCAGGTTAGTTTAAGCTGCTTAGATTGAACCAATATGCAAGTGAACAGACACTTACTTTTGATTCCAGAAATGCAGCCACATGCCTGCAGGGACCCAAGCCAGAAGCTGAGGAGCACTGGAGCATGATTTCTTGTTCAGCTGGAACAGACAGCTTGGGCCAAGGCTAGCACACCCACCCTGGGAAGGAGGGGTTTACAGGGGAGGTGCAAACCATCCTAGGATGCTGGGGGACTGAGTTAATTTGAACCTGGAAAGGATCTGGGACAGAGCTTCAATAAACTGATTTAACCGAAGTCAGTTAAATCTGATACTACATCCATCCGGGTTTATCTTAAACTGGTTTCAAACATTTTGAAAGTGGTTTATATGCACTTGTGTTGCGTTATAGATTTGAACTGTACTCTGATCCCTTATACCAGTTTATTTGTAATTTCTGTCCTTAGCCTGTATGCAGAATGTGTGATGGCAGATCTTCCCTTCCACTTTGCCGATGCCTCATTGTTTTGCCAACACCACTGCCAAAACTTACCCCACCAGTAAATCCAGGGCTTCACTGGAGTGATTTCAGTAACGTATATAGTCTCATGTAGTTCATCATCTTCCATCCCATGATCTTAAACCTAATCATTAAGGCAAACATCTAATATTTAGCATAAATGCCTGGCCTAGTGCAGCCTGCAACTATGATTACAAGTGGTCATAGTTTTTGTTTCTTTCCCCTCTGCCAAAAGTACCTAAGCAGCTCTTAAGTGAGCAACCTTTCACAAACACCCTTGCTTCATTCAAGACTTTCCTAAACATCCACTTTCCCCAGGTCATTTGCAAGAATAGAGATAACAAAGCAAATGCCTTGAACAGCATAACTAGGGACATGCACACTTACCATGGCTGAGTAATTGCACAGGCCTGTTACCATCAACTGTGTCTTTTACCAAGAGTCTCCTGTATTCTATTTAGGTCCTGTTTAAAATGGTGCATTCACACCCCTTGGGGCAGTGTTTTCCTATCTGTACTGTGAACTGTCTAATAGATTAAAATACAAAAAACAAAACAATGATTTTATAACCATAATGTTTTGCTGGGAACTAACTGGTTTGTTGTTGTTTTTTTTTTTTTTTTTTTTTTTTTTTTTTTTTTTTTTAATTTGAGTTGCTTAGAAGAGCAAGGGAAAATTGCTATTAAAAAAAAAAAAAAAAAAAAGGCAAGTATGGTGTTGCACCTGCTAACCAACTTATTTGTGTTTGGTACAGCATGCACACTTAAGAGCTAAGAATGTGTTTAAGGGACTATTTCCACAAGGAAAGCACTGTGACTGTAATCAGTGACCTGCATTCAACTGCTGCCTCAGCTACAGACTTACTGTGTGCAGTTGAGCAAGTCATTTAAATCTGCCCTAAACCTCAGCTCCCCAGCTGTAACATAGGGTTCAGAATTTTCTGTTTCACAAAAAAGGTTGAGAATACAATTTTTTAATGACTGAGAGTCTGTCCTACCACAGTGCTAGGTCAAATAAGCAAGTAATTAGGAAGATAAAATGAAGATACAGGCAGTCCTCGGACTTGTGACACAATTGGTTCTTGCAAACCACCTATTAAGTTGAAATGTTATAACTCAGAACTGATTTTCCCCCATAGGAAAAAGTTATAAATGGGGGATTGGTTCCTGAACCAAAGCCTGATACCCTATTTTCACCAAAAATAACCCAGAATTTTGTACTCAATCAATTATAGATGAGTAATATAGCTACATAAATGTATTTATATTGTAAATATAAGTCTTATCGATTTGGAAGGACTTCTTTGAGGTGACTTTGCTGGACTTTTTGAAGGGTTCTTGGCTGGAGTCTTCTCAGGAGTCTTGTCTGCTTTCTTAAAGAAAGCGTCCAACGAAGTTTGGACAGATGTTCTCCAGGGAAATGGGCGCCACTAGTGTGGTGTCGCGTCAGATCAAACGTTGTAAAATTGAAACTGACATCAGAAAGTTAAAACAGGGGTTACCCGATTGCTGAGCAGGGGGGGCCTTAGTGGCCAATTGCCAAGCATGGAAGTGCCACTGGGGGACCGACCCTCTGCCACTGCAGGGGCCGGGGGCATGCCAAGCACCCACTGATGCCACTGGCAGTGTCGGCAGTGGGGACAGGCCTGTGCTCCCCCGTCACTTATGAACAGGGTGTCAATTTATAAATTTTGTAAGTGCTAAACGTTGCAACTTGAAACACTAAGTCGAGGAATAGACACAATATCCTAATGCAGACATATTCTTCTCTCATGAAACCATCTCCCAGGGGCATGGTTTACTTCCCTGCTTCTAGTCCCACTTAACATTAGTGTAATCCATCTACTGTAGCAACTATATTCTTAAAAATTGCAGGTCAGGGCCTAAGAAAGTTGGAAGAATCTGTATACAAAAACTGTACCAGAACCCCAAATACTGTCAATTATTAAAATTGGCTGAAAATAGCTCCATTATCCCTTCACAGTATTATCTCTGATCACACTTTTCTACTGCTAACATAAAATCACACAGTATTAGCTATTATATAAAGATCACATTTCACTTTAGGGTTTTATTATGTTATTAACAGTAGACATGAAAAAATGGTAGGGGAAGTCTGTGGAAAATTGAGGGCTAGCATAACTGGTGATCTCACTTAGAACCTTGCTTTGCCACAAACACAGTAACACTGAGAAACTCCACTTACTCCCTACTAGGTAGTTTTTAGTAGAGATTACACTAGTCTCAGCACAGAATGCCACTCTGGAGCAGTCTGAACTTGGACAGGGTAAAAAGAGAGGTACAGACCAGGAAGGAATCCCCTTAGCAGTATGACTGTGAAGCTCACAGACTGGACAGCGAGGACACTGACAAAGCTATTCAATTGTTGCATGCTCCTAGGAGCATGCAACAAGACAGACCAACCGACCCTTGACTTCTAATTGTTAGAAGCAACTGATCAAGTAATTTATGTCCTATATAGAAATATCCATTCCACACAGAATTAATTGTACATTACCAGCAGCTGACTCTTTATTATTTCCTGCCCCCCCCCTTTAAAAAATAAACAAAAATTGGCAGACCTTTACCAAAGGCAGGCTCTAAATCAGAACCCCTTCTCCTGTAGGAAACTTAGGAGATTGTGTCAAGATTTCTATTTGAACAGAAGTAGAAGAGAACTGAAAGAAGTTTAAAGGAATGTAGTTGACTTTATTTTAGCTTATATGGTAACATGCAGCTCCTGTGCAAGATTGTAGTAAAAAAAAGCGCAAGTTGTTAGCTTTACTAAAGCTATGTTAGAAGGTTCTTATCATCCTATTAGGAATTTTTGCTAGTAGTTAGTATGGAAAGTGGTGTTACAAGGACAGAGTGTTTTTCAACTAATAGCTGGTTAGTATTCCAGGGGCTGCTGCTATAGGTGTAATTGACCTTGATTGGCAATGCCTGTGTAGCATAATAGCAAGCTAGGTAACATCCTGCCAATGGGGTTAGCTAGCTACTATTGTTTAGTGCTGTAGCAATCTTGCTGCAGCAGGACAATGGGAAGCTGCTGCCTCTCCATCCTCTGGGCCACAAAATTAAGCTTACTAAACCATGAGTTCTGCTTTTCCGAAACTCTAGGAAAAGAAGGTTTTACCTTCTTCCACTCCCCGCCAACCCTGCAAGTGTGCAGAATTTATGGCTAGAACAGTAGAGCCTCAGAGACATCAGACAAACACTTTATTACAAATCAAATAGATACATTAAAGTTACATCTCCATAAAATGTTAAAAAAGTTACACATATTGAACAGTTTATTTTGAACCAGTTTACTTAGTTACTGCTTTAATTGTTTGAGACAAGTCTTGCTCGGAGAGCTCACTCAGAAGTACCAGCTTCATTGCAGCATGGACCTCCTTCTGGGCAATAAGGCTTCTTTTTTTGTAGTGAGACAGCCTGGCAGCCTCTAAAGCTACTTTCCCGAACAGATAGGGCTTGTTCAGAGATTTCAGAGCATCAGCCACCCAGCAGAAGACCCCCATGTCCTCAGTCTGTCAGAGAAGGGAGTATCAATATCAGATCCTGGCATAAATGGGATGTTCTTGCCTACCAACCAAAGCAAAAAACCACTGTATCCCAGCTAGATCTCAGGATCTTAAGACCCAGGATCCCTGCTTAAGTGTTAAAGGACTTAGGAACAAGATTAAGCTTCTACACTGTGGGAAAGTGTAGCTACTAGTAAACTATACTAGTTTTCACATATACTCTTAACTCCCAACCCCTAAAAGGTGCTTTCTGGAGGGGCCTCAGTACTAGCATCGATGCTTTAAAAAGGAATGGAAAGAGATCCTGTTGCCCTCAGTATCTTACTATTTCTACATTAAAAATATTACAGTAAAATTGAATAAGAGTAATTACTTCTTCAGGCAGGGTTATAGGAAGAACTAACAGCATTAATAAAAAAAAAAATTTTTTTAAGACCTGAGAGAAAGTTTTGGTGTACCATATTGGCAAATTGCTTAAAATTTAAGGAGGTAAACATTTGTAGTGAAGCTGGTCACTCAACCTTGTAGTGTTGTAGGCCTCCAACACCTACTGAAATTAGAACATTTTAGCCTCTTAATGTAGGGCAATCATTACTCCAAAGAGTTGGTAGGGGCACTGAAATCATTTGGCCAATGAGAAATAGGGCAAGTCCTACTACAGACTTGTATTTCCATGTCTAAACAGAGCTGCAAAGGAATCTTGACATGCACCACCCACACTTTGTCCTTCATTGACTTGAAGTAATTGTTTGAGGAAAGATGCAATTCAAAGAACTGCTAATCCCCAGCTTCAGACCTTAACCTAAACATCACTAGTTTTGGCTATCAGAAAGTAAGACTTACTTGAGTTAGGACTTTATATATATAGGTAGAGTAGCTCTCCTTCTTCTTCCCACTGTAGAGTCTGAGGCTCAAGAGATTGTCTCTGGCTTTGAGAGAGAAAGTCTGCTTTCTTGGAAGGGGAATTAAGGATAGTTGCATTCCTACCATCAACAAGGTAGAGGTCAGTTAGAACTTGCAAGCCTGTAGTACAGAGCTTCCCAAGTTTATTTCTTGTGTACCCCCTTCCAGACTTATCAGCTGCCCATATTGCTACCAGCATGTTCATTTTAGCCCCTTAAATGCCAGTTAGAATGAAAATTAAATCTGCCATTACACAGTTTCTCCTACACCCCTCAGATGTAGTACATGTACCCCTGGGGGAATACAAGACAGTTTATGATATCTTAATACAGCCAGGGTAGGGAGGAGGAAGGAACCCCTAGAAGTAAGAAAAGTAAAGCTACATCTTAAGCCAAGTAGCTTAGGTTAGTACCAGCTCTGACACCAATACAATTAATGGGGTATTTTAAGTTCATTCCTATGAACATCTAGCTAGAGACATAAGTTCAAATAATGTTGCTGAATACAATGCTAGAAGACACCCAGCTACTGCAATGATAAACATAGTATAAGAACCCTCTATAAGATAAAGTAATTGCAAATTAAATGTTCTTTATAACTAAAAAAGCTTACCTGAAAGAATAGTAACCACCAAACAAGAAGCCCACTAGTCAAAAGAGAGTAGCAGATGGTTTTTGTCCTGAGCTACTACTTGTTGCTCTCAGAGAGGAGGGATATATTAACAGGACAATAAGCCTGTCTCATTGACTTCACCTGCTGTTTATATTGACCTCCCCCACCCCCACCCCCACAGGCTCTCTGTTTTCAATTAAAGAGACAGAAGTTCCTATATCTGACTTACACACAGGAATTTCATATATGAGTGGTCACACCAAAGTCATTGTTGCTGGCTACATGAAATCCCTTGTGCAGGTACATAAGCCTTTGCAGGCTTGTGGCATGTGAGCTTCCAGGGTTAGAAAAATCCTTTCAGCTAAACACATGTAAGCTTGTCATGGTAAACTAACCCCATATAAAAAGTATTTTGATCCATCAGATGTAGAATTCTCAGGTCAATACTACAGCAGGGGATGATATTAATCCACAGAACAGAAGAGTTGAATTCAGGTCTTTGGAAGGTCAAGACTATGTTTGGGTTCACTCAGGCTCATTCAGTTGTGTTCTTATCTGGGTGTATGCCACTGAAGTGGTGCCGGAATGCTTTGAGTTCCTTATAAAACACATGCAAGAGTGCTGTTGAGTACAGGCTTACTGGCCATCTATTATCCACTAAGGTCATGCCCCAGGAGAGCTGCAGGGCACCCCAAAGATGTGGGCTTGAGTGCACATGTAGTGTACCCCTGCCCTAGGCTGCATGTAGGTGCTTCCAGGTTTCCTAATGCAGATGGAATGGAGTTGCTCACTGGAGAGTGTTTTCACATGAGTTTACCAAAAAATCCCTGTGTTTCCTTGTCAGGGGGCTGGGTCCCTGTACTCCACCAGGCAGGAGGCTGGGTGGACCTATAAGAGCTGTTTGTGGTCAATCTAAGTTCAGTATATGTAATCATTATCAACATTACCAATGCCCACTGACAGGTGGACTACCTGAATCAGAGAAGACAGCAAAATTCTTATAAGTACTTGGAAAGAGTACATCAAAAACCAAAAATAAACATATTTAAACAAATGGTACTAAGCTTTGCAACCTTGGGCATTCACTAGCTTTGGACCCAGTGTTGTCAGGGGGTCAGGAGGATGAAACCTGTAATTCACATTTCTTTTCTGTTACTTGAGCTGAACCTTATGGCAGAACCAGGACACTTAACAATCATACTGACAAGGAACAGGAGACACCACAGAACTCATGGGCTTTGTTCTTACTAACAGACCCCCCCTAGAGCACTAGTGCACATGTCATCAGCCCCATATTTCTTACTGCACAAGTAACAAGAAATAACAGACCAAGGACACTATTATTTTTGCAGTTGTCTCTGAGTGAGTGCTCTCCCCTCACTATCTGAGGCTCTCATGTGGTGGTGGTGATTGGGAGAAGTGGGGATAATGCAGGGTTTGTTGTGGGAGAACTGGTCCCTGATGGACTGGTGAACCATGAGCAGTCAAAGGAAATGAAAACATGAAGCTGCTGGCTTTTTTGAGGGGTGGGGGTGCATATGCTTTGTGTTTTCCTTTTCTCATTCCTAAGTGCCTACTAGTAGTTCTCAGTACAGCTGCTGGGGTGATGATAAGAAGGCTGTTGGGTGGTGTTACACTGCCCTGAAATACCTCACTCCAGCAGGTCAGCATTTGCCCTGATATTTTGCCAATCTTGGAAAGTGAAGATGGTGAATTTCTGTCTTATCAGAAAATCCAGTCAGTCTATCAAGTTCATGGGGAGGGTAAACTTATCTGAAGGATACTCATAGCACACAAGACCTTTCCTCTCTAAACTGTGAAGTTCTGTTACTAAAGACTTGAAATGTTCCACTGCAGATTTTGTTGGAAAAGTACCTTCCTTTTCTGTTGTGGACTTTAAGGGAAATGTCTTCAAGGTTCTGTGGAGCTGAAAAGAGATTGATTCTAGAGTTCTCCGAGGTCATAGGCCCAACCAAACACTGTGATTCTCCCACTCCTGGGCACTGTATAAATCAGGGGTAGCCAACCTGCAGCATACATGCAACAAGTGGCATGGGCAGCTTCTGCATGTGGTATGCAGGAGGTCATGGAGGGGCAGGAAACACAGCTCAAGATAGTGCAGGGAGCAGAAAGCAGAACAGCAGATCAGGCAGGGGAAGAGGAAGGGAATTGGAGTGACAATCAGGGAAAGTGTAGGGCTTAATTTGCAGCATGCCTGCCCAAAATGTTGGCTCCCACTGGTATAAATGTTGGATCCCACTGAGTTTAATCCCTGCATACCGGATATAGGTACACTGTCATTCAAAGTAATATGAATTGAACTTACTCTTACATGAATGGCTGTCTCCCAGAGCCATTTTGAGCTGTAGACCACAGGCAGTAGAGCTGAAAGAGTGAGCTTGCAAAACTCTCCAGATGTAAGAAAAGTGTTGGTTTGTGGCCTTGGGCACAGTGATGATGGTGCGGGGTTGCATCTCTTTCAGTTCTGAAACACATGACTAACATCTTTGTTCATCATTTGTACTGCAATTCTTGGGCAGTGGTGTTTCTTCGACTGTGCAGGCTAAGAATGAGAGCAGCATCAGACCTCCCCCCAGCCTAGGGGAAAAGAATTGTGTCATTATGTGCTCATCATCCAAGGGGAGTCAAAGAAATCCTGAGGGAGCTGCACTGAAGAAGAGAAGACTTTAGGGCTTCCATACAGCAGTGGGAGGAGAAAGACAAGAGGACACTTGAAAGGATGGAACTTAACTTGCAGATCATGAACCTGAAGTGACCACCTATTTTGGGAATGAGAGGCAAGGCATGCAGTTGTAGCAGGCTCCTGAGGTTCCAAGGATGGGACTTAGTGCATCTATATCTTCTTTGTCTCTGGCTTTGTCCAAGGCATCAGACTGTGGATTTTCCAGTATGCAAGAGGTTAACTGGAGGACAGACAATCCTTCAGACCTCTTAGAACATCTGCTCTCAGCAGAAAAAGGACACATGACAACTAATGTCCTATACCCAAGAAGAAGTGGTCACTTCAGAAGAGTCCATGCAGGAAAAGCAAGGAGTCATACTCGGCTGCTGCCAGACTGCGTGCGATGGATTGCTGCTGTTGGAGCCCCAGGAGGTTCCCAGAACCCCAGGTAAAGCTTCTGGGGCCAGCCCAGGTACTGGCTGCAGCTTCCCCTACCTTCCCTGTGTCACAACCCAAGGGTGTGATTTTGTGTGTGCGCGCTTCGGCACTGCTAAATTATTTCCCGCCACGAGGAGCTTTCTTTGCAAGGTGCATTTCTCAGTTGCAAAGAGAAAACCCCGGTGCAAAGAAATTCCCGCCACCCGCATGCAAATTTGTGTCCCACTATTGGCCAGTTCTAAATTATTCCCACGTGGCGGCTAGCGATTGGCTTGGTAGCCCGATAAAAGGGCTGAGCGGTTTCCGCCCAAGTTGGAGGACTCCATGAGCGGTTTCTGCCCAAGTTGGAGGACTCCACAGCCATCTGGAGGAAGAGGACTTCATGTCTCGTGAAGAACTCTAAGCGCTGCGGAACCTAACGGACCCAGCGTGTACCCTAAGAAGGCTATAGGGGTCTGATCAACCTCTGGCCTCTCCCCGTCGCCGAGCGCGATCCCTCAATGAACCCCTTCCCTGCGTGCAAGTTCCATGGAGCCTAGCAAACTTCGTGTGAGTCCAGAGTCCAAGGTCCAGAGTTTGATCTCTGCAGATACTTGTGGAATTGGTGTAGGCAGTTGGCTAGAAAATAGCACCACTGATAAAGATACCCATTACTGTGGAAAACAGATACACAGTGCACAGAACTGCAACCAGTGGGCCCTTGGTTCAGTGTCTGTTTCTGCTGCTGGTTTACTGGGTGAATTTGGACAAGTGTTTCTCCATTTGCAAAACAGGGATAATGACACTGCCCTCCCCCGGAAACTGCTTGAGATCTGTGGATAAGAAAATGCTAGGTGCTGTTCTGATTCTTATTTACTGAACAGGGAAAACTTACAGGTATGGTCTCAGTGTCATTTGGCCTCCCTCTAGTGGCTGCTCATTGCTTAAACCGAAAGAGTTCTCCTTTAGCTGTATTGGTAAGAGAATGTGGTTTGGGTGCTGAAGACTCTACTTTCAAATCCCACTGACAACTGTGATTGACACAAAGGGTCCAAGTAATTTACAAATCAGCATATTTACAAATATACAAGTAAGCATAAAAGCATAAGAGTGAGTCATAGAATTCACAGATAATCATAGTTTAGTGAGGTTATTATGAGTTAGGCACATAGGAATAAGCAAGGCTGGGGCTGGAGACAAGTTTCTAGGTTAAGGCCTGATTCTTAGAGGTGTTAAGTGACCATGGGTGCATCCAGATGAGTGTGCACGTGCCTTTCCCCAGAGACAAACATCAGCGGCTCATAGTTGTGCCACTGCTACTTGTCCCCAGGGAACACCCATGCACGTGCACTCTGGCACATGGCAAGCTGCCCCAGGGTGTGCAGGCCGGGAGCGGTCCGAGGCCCTCGGGGGCGCGCGGCGGGCTGTGACCAGCAGCCCATGGCCCTTCCCTCTTCCCCAACTTCTTCCTCCACAGACTTACCTGCTGGGGGGGCAGTGAGCACTCAGCCTCCCCCCAATATTTTTTTCCCCTTCCGGCTATGTTTATAAGCTTAACTCCTTGGTCTTATGAGAATAACACATGGTACCACGAATGGGGTGCTAAGAAAGACCAAAAAATGGAGCATCTCAGAATTCCAGAGGAGTTAAAGCTGTCCAACAACATAGCAGAAAATTGGAAGCAATTTAAGCAGAGCTTCACCATATATATTGCAGCCAATGGAACTACAGAGAAGGAAGATCCACTCAAGGTAGCTATTTTTTTTAATATAGCAGGCCCAGAAGCTCTGTTTCTTTGTAATAGCTTATAACTGTCAGAAGCAGAACAGAAAAGCTATGGCAGAGTAATAAAAAAGTTTGACGAATATCGTATACCCAAACAAAATTAAACCTTTAAATGATATAATTTCCACATGAGAGCAGAAAGAATGCAAGACAATAGACAAGTTTGTCAAAGACCTCAGACCGCTGAGCCAGACATACAACTTCGGAGACCTAAAAGAGTCCATGATCAGAGACCAAATAATATTGGGTATAAGAGATACATCCTCTGGAAAGACTGCTAGGGGATCCTGAGCTTAATTTGGAAAAGGCAATTAGAATGTGCCAAGCAGCTGAGATAATAAATGTCAGGCTGCAGAATCTGGAGGAAAAAACTGAACATGCTGAACTAGACAGGATTACAAGGCTGCATAAACCTTAGGCAACACACGAACAATACAGAAAGGTGCACCTCACTGTGAAGTAGGCAAGTGGAGGCTAAAGAGAATTGCTTGAAGAAACAATGGTCAGCTGCAGATGCTGTGGGGGGATAGGCAGATTAACACACGGGCCAATCAGGGGCCCCCAGGTGCCTGGGTTCCCGTGGGAAATGGCAGGTTTCCCTTTACAGGTGGGCAGCATTCTAGCCTGCTTGGGGCTGTCAGGAGAGAGACTCAGGGGGTGCCATGTGCCTGAGTGCGGCCCCATATGGCCCAGACCACAGCTGAGCAGTGTGGAGAGCAGCTCCCTGCAAGTAAGTGTACAGGGGGAAAGTGTGTGGGGGCAGATTGAGAACTCCATGGTGA